ACGATGGGAATATAAGAAGTAAACAAAGCGATCACGTAGGGTTTTGTATATAATCATTTATATTGATCTTTTAAATGACTTTTGAACATCTGACCAAAGAAAAATCAGCATTAAATTGTCTATTTAAATACCAAAACACCAAAGTGTGTGTCTGTACTTTTGTCTTCTGGACGACTCGTTCTGTACATCTCGCTCTCAAGCTGCTTTAACTTTAGTTAAGGGGCCACATGTCGCGCTATTGTCGAGAGCCGATACTGATCCCCCGCCTAATGGACTGAAGGCAGGCACCAGATCAATAACGCTGGTATTAGGTGGCTTTGGAAAGCGGCAGCTTCCTCTTATTTCTCATCTGAAGCTGAGCGACCTCGCTTCTTGTGATATTTTCTAATAATGCCACCTTTTCCCTCACAGCCGAAGCAGATCGGAGATGATTTCTGCGGTTTGGTTCTGACCCAGCCGCTCGGAGGCCTGAGGGTGATCGAGGGACAGCCGCTGTACGAGGACCGGACCGAGGGCATGGGCGCCGTGGCCGCATACACCTACGGGGAGCACACGGTGGTGTTCGTGGGAACCCGGAGTGGACAGCTGAAGAAGGTAGGAGGAAAGAACGGATGATTCGTCTACAGAGGAGGAAAAGCTGTTGTGAATATGTTTGCGCTCCTGCTTGAGTTGGGTACTCTGTGGGAAAGGAAGGAAGTCAGGGACGGGAATTAAGAGAGACAGGACAGAATGACAGGAAAGGAATAGCGGTGGACTGTTTGAGGGCTTTTGTTTCCTCTGCTGAGAGGAAAGGGCTGCATTAATGTTTTAAAATTGCTTTTGGGGCTTTGATTGCTTTCTAGAGTTTCTGTTTGAGGAGGTTAGAAGGAAAGATAGAGAGACAATTGTCTTATTCATGTTTTAAATCACTTGAGGCTCTTTTAGTTCTTTGGTTTAGATGAAAGGAAGAGATTGAAGTTCACCTGTTTGATTGCAGTCCATCTTGAAACAATCAAGGTGTTTGTTCTCTATTTATAAGGGCTTTTGATAAAGTACTCAGCTTTCTTTGTCACTCGGATGGAGCCGTGTGATGATATCAGTCGTCAGTGTGACTCTCACCTGTGAATCGTTTGTTTGTTCGTTGTCGAATGTCGAACTTGGCTGTGTCGGAGGTGTTTAGCTGTGAAGCTGCAGGACTGGGAACGGTGAGTCTTCACGCTGCGTTATTACCGAGCCTCAGTTCATCGGCGCTGAAAGTAATTTCAGCTCCGGCGTAACAGTTATTGCAAAGCTCTGAAAACGGTGTGAGAGTGCATTTATACAGGAATGTCTTCAGTTTTATTCTGTTCATTTCATCAAATGTCTTTTCCGAAGCTGCCTGATGAGGCTTTAGTGCAAATGTTTATTGAGATGTGTGCGTGACTGCTTTCAGAAATGCTGTGTTTCTCTTCTCATTTGCACTCTTACTCCTGAAAATCTCACACCTGATAAATAAACTTAATACAGTAATGATTAAAAAGACAGAAACCAACAATATTTTTATGTTTGTTATCTTCTGTCTTCAAATACGTCTCCAAACAATGTCAAAAAAAGGAGAAGAAGAAGAAGAAGACCTCTGTTCGGTGCAGCTACACTCACCATGTGTCTTCTTTGTTGTTCCTCTTTTCTCTCCCAAAAATAATTTGGATGCATTTTAAAGACTCATTTGGAAACATCACATACTGTCTTCCATTATCTATTGCAGTTTGATATTTGCTCTGTTACTCATTAATAATAAGTTAGTTTGTAGCTCCAAGAAAGGATCAGTTAAATTTTTTTTAGAAATAATTAAAAATCCACCAGCAAAACATTTTTAATGGTCTGAAAGCTTTTGTGTTTTTGAGCAAAAGTAATTTTGGAGCCAGAATCAACAAAATAAAATGAGTTTTATAATCATATTTGATAGTC